CATGGCCGCCGGTTACCTCTGGAGTGTTGTACTGTTCCTCTGGAGGCATCTCCTTTGTGTCGGTGGCCTTGTTAGTCCCAGACAGGTTCTCGAACTTTTCTGCCAGATATTGTGCAACTGCAGGGTTGCCCTTTTTCACACCCTTCCTCTGTGCTTTTGGTCTGCTGATGAGTCCCACCCTTGCTCCCGTCCTTCCTGCTGCTATTCCTGCTAGAACTGGAGTTGGCATCCAAGAAGTTGAGGCGACGAAACACCAGGGGGTTTGATTTGGCTCGGGCGGTGCCCATCTGGTGCATGAAGCGACATGGCGGGGAGCACCTCAGCCTACAATCATGGATCCTGCTCGGCTCCTCACCTCTAAGTTTACATTCACTTGTTTTCAGCCCAGCAATTATGAAAAAATGGTTGAAATATATAGTACTCCCTCTGTAAACTTTTACAAGACGTTTTAGGTCACTTCATGATCCTTTTTTCCTTGCTACCACTTACCAGTTGTGCTGCATATAATCCTAGGTTTGTGATATACTTAGAGCTCCTTTGATTCAAAGTTTTTTCATAGGAGTTTTGGAGGATTAGAATCCTTAGGATTTTTTCCTGTGTTGGTTGTTTGATTCATAGGATTAAATCATATAGTTTTTTTTCCTAAGGACTTCTTTGTACTACTTCCCATAGTATTTATATCATCCACTCAAACCTCTTAGAAAGAATCCTTTGTTTTTCCTGTGATGCAATCGAACAGCCCAAAATCTTCGCAATTTTTGAGACGGCCATGACATTCCAATCCTATGTTTTTCCATTCCCATGTTTTTAGGATCCTGCGAATCAAAGAGGCCCTTAATTCAGCATTTGTTCAAGCTTAGTTATCTGCCACTTCCACGCTAAGGATGCTTGTTGCCTAATATAACTGTTCGTATATATGATACATTTTTTCAGGCTTGTCATGACGGCTGTGCTACTATTTATTGATGAGGATGTGAATCTGGTAGAAACTAGGACTATTTAGAGCTTGTCATCAACATCTCACATGTGGCCAGGTATATTACTACCGTGTCTGCTCACTGGGAGAGCTGTTCATCATTTCATTAATAACCTGCACTGAAACTGGTGCCTGGCACTGATTTTCTTTTTCAAGGAAATTCCAATGATGCAGTTGGTTAACTTGTCGCACACATGTTTCGACATCTGGCTCCAAATGAACACTTAACATGAGGAACCGGTGAGAGTACATTCCAGTCTTTCAGAAATTCTGAAACAAGACGTTCCGTAGGAGCTTATCTGGTGCCTGGGTGTTGATTGCAACCATCAGGCAGAACTGACCCTTGTGCTGTACATTGTAATTTCATGCGTTCTGGTATTGCACTGCCACCTGTCGAGATTTGGTTAACATTGGACATCTTGGTATGGTATGTGCAATGGTGACATCTTGAGCTGACTAGTTGGCATTCACTTTTGAGATGTGAGATTCTCCGTCACAATTATTTTACAGCTTGTTGTTTTCCCTTGAAAAGCATATAGTGCGTTTGTGTAATTTGGTTTTGAACAAGGGGTTAAGTTTGCAGGACCTGAACCTGAAGATGAACTGCTTCCATGCGATCATCGAATACAATTTGTTTCATAAAATTACAAGAAGCTGAGAGAAAACATCGACTTTGCTTTCAGCTCTGCCTGATTGAACTAGCAGAAACAGAATCAACCCATGGACAAACAAAACAAAATGCGGCTGCTGAACCCTACTTTCCGATCTTGGAGAAGAGAGTTTCGAAAGCCCCAACAAGGGACTTGACCCTGCTCTTCCTGCTCTTGGCCAGCCTGCTCGCCGTCTCCTCGATCAGGTTGTTGGACAGCCTCCGGCTCTTCTTCCTCTCCAGCGTCTTTTGGTGCCTCAGCATCACCTCTGGCACAATGAAGCCTGTTGCACTGCCGGACATGCTGCTCCCTCGCCTCCGCAGGCTCCTGGCCCTGAGCTGGATGCCGCCGCTGGACTCCTCGCCGGCTGCTCTCCCCTTTCTGAACCTGAGCCGCGTGGGCTTGTCTTGTTCGGATGGGAGGATGGGTGCCTTGCTGCTCTTGGAGCGCAGCTTGAAGGTGGCCGAGTTGTTGCTCGGTTGTCGGGTGAACGGGAAGCGCACCGATCGGTTGCTGATGCTCATGCTCTTGGCCCTCCGATGTGCCGGTGCCAGGATGGGTCTCATTGAAAGAGCAATGGCAGCACGCTCTTCTTGGTCGGGAGTGTAGAGTGACTTGCCCTGTTTAACATCATTATGAGTTGCGTCACCCTGGACAATTTCCTTGTTTTCGACGGGCAATGTCGCAGATTTCTTGGCTTTCGGAGGCTTGCCAGCCCCCTTCTTGTGAGAAGGTGAACTGTTAGTGGCGGCTTGAGGCTTCTTCACGGAGGCCTTCCCGGTGAGCGTCGACCTGACGGTCTTAGCCAGCCTCTTGTTCAGTGATTCGGTTTGCTTCTCCGGATGGGTGGCCTTGGCAAATGGTGCTTTCCCCTTGACATCCCTCTTGTTCCTCCCATCAGGTTGTTGATGAGATGGCCCGTCGGGTGAGGCTGGAGCCGGAACTGGCACTGGCGCTGCATCATAGGCCACGATGTCCTTCCACTCAACAACAATCTCGCTCCCACCGGCCGGCGTATCGGCCTTGTCGGGTTTGCTGAAATCTCCGACACGCCTGCGTGACACCGACCGTACCTTGACCAGCCTTGTCTTGTGGTCATCGGAAGCCGATGGCTGCTGCTTCTTCCGGGGTTTGGGTTGGGCCCTTGGAGCTTGTTTCTCCTCGAACGCGTGATGCCCGCCGTGCTTGCACGCGTCGTGGCACGACCCGGTTGATGGCCGAAGATAGTTGGGGACGGGCTTCGGGCTGCCTTTTGCAGCCATGGCCTCCATCGGTGACAAGTTGAAGCTCTTGATTCCCTCCCTCGATCCAGCTGATTTCTAATTCAGTAGAATCTTTTTTGAAACTCGAATTCGGTAGAATCTGAAACAGAGTGTTAGTATTAGGTAGAGGTATTAGGTGAGCAACTAACTAGTACGTATGCATGACGCAGTTGATGAGAAAATACAAGCACGGCTGCTTGATTAGGGCCAGAAAGGTATCCCCAATTTCCGTGAACTCTCCCCATGTACTAGTAACCGAAAAAAGCTATAAATCAAGCAGAGGACAGCAAGAAGAAACTCACCGATGCCGGCTTCACTCGTCGCGCGCCATTCGTCTTGACCAAAGCCAAAAATAAATAGCAGCAAAATCCTGCTCTAGAGGAAGAAGAAGAAGGTAGGCTGTTCTTGTTGATTTCTCGGTGGACTGGTCAAACCTGGTGCTAGCGCTGGTCAGAACACACCAGTGAGGCGTATATGTAGGTCTACCATGCGCATGTGGTAGGAGGCGATCGGGTCAAGCAAAGGAGATGAATTGATGGTGTCGGTGTTGGTGGTAGCTGAGCTTCATACTTCCTCCTTTAACTAATGTGCTTGAGACTCGAATTGTTCAACCAGAACCAGGTGAGGGAGGAGGCGGTCAAACACGGCGGGAGCAAGTGCTTGATTGGATCCATTTGAATATGACGTGGGAAAAGGTTTGGTGGGTTCTGTTCTGACTACT